CCCCAAAACCCCAAAACCCCAAAACCCCAAAACCCCAAAACCCCAAAACCCCTGCAAAGATAATATTATTTGAGATTAATAAAAATAAGAAATGTATAAAGGATCCAAGAAACTGAATAAAGCTCAGGCTAAAGCACAGGAGTATGTACAGAAGCACAAGATTGAGAAACTTATCTCAGAGATGGTCAATAGCATGGTTCACACTAGGGATAAGAAACCTATTGTCTACATGATTAAGTATTTATCGAACTACTGAACAGAAGAAGAGCTTGAGGAGAATGGCATTCAAGTAAAAGGACCTCTCCCACAGAGAATTCCTCTCATGAATTACCCTGAATTTGGAGATGAATGCACTCACCTCTTGAAGGCACATCTCACAAGAGATATATGGAGCCAGATGAAGAAGAGAGCAACACATCTTGGAGGGAAGATCCAGCTCTGCCTTCAATCTGGAGTTTACAATGAAAAAGAAGAGATTGGAATTTATGCTACTGATGAAGAAGCTTATAAAGTATTTGATGATATTTTTACTCCAATAATTCAAGATCTCCATCCTGAATATGACCTCAAGGTGAATTACAGAAATGAGTTTGAATTGGTGTCGGTACAGAACCTGCAAAAACTACCAAAATTAAAAGATAAACTCTCTTTCATTAAGGTCTCAGCCAGAAGGAACTTTAAAGACTACCCCTTCACTCCAATGATGAGCACCCAAATCAAGTTCCAAGTTGAGAAAAAGATTGTTGAAACATTAGGCGAAGTGTACGGCCACTACCACCAACTTGCAAAGGTCGATGAAGAAACATCCAACTGGCTGAACTCTGTGGGCATTGATATCTCAAATCAGACAAGCCACAGCAATGCTGGGATCAACGAAGACTGGCCCAACGGAAGAGGTGTGTTCATCGATGACAACAAAGCCTTCGTGATTCTCGTCAACTTCGAAGACCATGTGCAGGTGTTCGCCATCGGAGAAGACGGCGACTTCAGCAAGAGCCTGACCACTCTGATCAAGATTCTATCGAAGTTCGAGAAGATGGGATACGCCAAGCATTCCACTCTTGGGTTCTTGACTGCAAGTCCGAAGAACTTGGGAACCACTTTGGACCTGGGTGTCAGGATCAAACTGAAGACAGCTCAATCGCAAGACAACATAGAGTCTTATGAAGGAACTTACTCATGAAAGATAAAGCAATCTCCGGACTCTGACACAGAGTATGATATCAACTCTTGCAAGACTCTTGCGAAGAATCTTACTGAGAATGATGCCATCAATGAATTCTGTGAGTGCCTCCTTAGGCTTACAGAAGGGGAGAGTGAAGATGAAGAGCAAGAAGAAGAGAAAGCTGTTGAACAATTAGTCGAATCAGAAGCACCACAACAAACCCAATCTTCTGAGGATTCAAAGCTAGATAATACTAAAGCTGGGAAGAACGATACTAATGCTCCTAAAGAAGCTCAAGTTGCAACTGAGGAAGTGAAGAAGAGTGAAGATGAGAGCAAGAATGCTGAAGAAGGAGAATTAAAAGAGGTTACACCAAAGAAAAATGAAGCAAGCTCAGAATCTCCAGATCAAAAGTCTAAAGATACTTCTGTAGAAGAAACTAAGGGAGCTCCTTCAGGAGATTCAAAAGATGGTTCTGATAAAGATAATAAAGAAGCTGATGAAGTTAAAAAAGAAGAGCCAGCCACTGAAAACGAAGTCAATAATGATGATGATGTAAATGCTGAAGCTAATGAAAAGGCTAATGACAATAATGAAAACAAAGATGAGAAGCCTTCAGAAGAGCCTTAATAATCTAAGCAGATATTTCAGTCATTTAATTATTAGAAGGGGTTTTGGGGTTTTGGGGTTTTGGGGTTTTGGGGTTTTGGGGTTTTGGGG